GAGAGAGGGAACACAAGCAGGGGGAGTGGGAGAGGGAGAAGCAGGCTCCCCCCTTCCCAGGCAGGGAGCCCGATGCAGGGCTTGATCCCAGAATCCTGGGATCATGACCTGAGCCGAAGGCAGACGCTTAACAACTGAGCTACCCAGGTGCCCCTAAGAGATAGTACTATTATCCCATCATTAAAGGGAGGAAACTGAGGCACAGTGAAGTTAGTGATTTGTTCATGGTCACACAGCTTGTGGCAGAGCTGGGCTGTGAACTTGGATAGCACAGATTCAGGCCCAGAGCCCTTAATCTCTGGTTCGGGTAGGATGTTCCCTTGGCTGAGAGGAGCCCCCAGTGACCCTCCAGACACATTTGTCCTGGGAAAGGAGTCCATTCCAGAACCCACAGGGGCCCTTTTCTTACTCTCTTCAGGTTGCAGAGCACCCACCTTTACCAGAGTACCAGCTCAGCCCCCATCACCACTGTGGCTCCTGGGGTGGGAGTGCGGGTGATAGTGGATTCTGTGCCAGGAGGTCCGAGGGTCTCTATCCCGGCGCCCCCACCAAGGGCGCCTTCTACATCTACGTGGATGGGCACACCTGTTAGGAGGCTTGGCAGATGGGTCTGGTGTTTGAGCCGACTGCTGTTGCTGTAACTTGTCGTAAGCCATCCACCTGTGGGGTCCATTGGGGACCATAGGACGGGAGGATAATTAGGTGGAGGTTTTGCTTCAGAATGCCGGCTGTCTCTTTGGATTTATAAATCTGCATGCTTCTGCCCTGCATGTAAAGGAGAAGCCCACCTTCCTGCTCTCCAGAGGCTGGAGCTGGAAGGAAGGCAGAGCAGTGGCTGGGACCTCTCTGAGCATCTCTGTGGGAAGTTCTGGTCTTTTGGCCCCATCCTGAGGACAAATGGAAAGGAAATGGGAGGCTCTGGGGGGCAAGAGAGATCAAGTCCTTGTTCCTTCCCACAAATAGACTTCCAAAGGGTCTTACAGAAGGACTGAGAAGAGTAGCTGGACTCAGGACACTTAATTTACTGCCTCACCTCCTTCAGGAGCTCTTCCTTCCCCAAGTTTACATCTCCCAACTCCAGGGCTCAAACCCCACGCAGCCATCCTGGTTGATGGAGGACAGAGCATGATGTCGGGACAGTCTCAGCACTCCATTTCCACACCTGCGAGGTTAGGAACAAAGACCGTCAGCACTGATTCCAAAATTACCTTTAAAAAAAATTACCTCCTTATCATCTTTATTGCCGCACCACACCCAAACATACCTTTCAGTTCCCTCAGGGAAGGCACCAAGAAAATGAAAAGAAAAGGCACATTACAGCAGGGGAGGGAGGTCTCGTTCCTACCATCTTCAGGACAGCATGGCCTCTGCCCATCCCCAGGCCAGTGCCCAAGCTGAAGAAGCCGAGGAAGAATGCAGCTCACCAAGCGAAGAGATGTTTCTACACTAACCAGTTCCCCAGGCTTGGAGCTGGAGGGTTCTGCGGATTATGCTCTTTTGACAAAAGCTGTACAAACAGTCAGGGGAGTTTTTCTCCCTCCCTCCCCTCTCCTCAGCTGGAGTACAAGTGGGATGTGTAGCCATCTTGGTTTACTGAAGATGGTCCTGGCTGGTAACTGTGGTTCCAGCCTCCCATTCACTCAGTGATTTGGCCCGGTTTTCAATTTCATTATAAGAATGTTTTTGTAACTAGTTGGATCAAAATGATCTGGAATGGATTCAATAGACTTCCACTTAATGCTTTCACTTTCTGCTGTGTTCTGTACACAGAGTTCTTCCTTTTTTTTTTTTTTTTTTTCAGAGTTCTTCCTTTAACCCAGGGTTGCATCTAAATGTTCACGAGGGATAACCAATTTTCCCTTTCCTGGCCCTTTTGGACAAAGCTTAAATTATAGTGTTTTGCAATGACCACTGGCAGGGTGCTTGCTGATCAACTGACATTTGCTCGGGTGGAAGTCACTGGGGACAGCTTTCTGTCTGCTCTCCAGGACTGGCTGGAGAGGTCTCGGTGACCTGTCCCGCAGAGTCCTCAGGCCACCTCATCAATATGTCTAAAACCAACGGCGACATTTTATCATGCAAAATAAAAATTGTCAGATTTTCAAATATTTTTAGATACATAGAGTAACTGATCGATAGCTTTAAAGAGGTAATTGGTAAAATGAGGTGGGATCAGTGGGAAATGTGGGAAATTACAGGTTGGGGGTATAGGGACTACGAATAGGGAAACAGAAGCCGAGCAGTTCTACCACTGAGCTTCTAGAGTAGTCCAAATGCTCTTGCTACAGGCTTTGCCATTTATGGCGTGGCATAAATTTACAGCCACTTCTTTATTTTATTGTTTGAAAACACTTTTTATTTTGCAAGGAAGTGCTTTTTGTCAGCAATGAGCTAAGAAAAATAAACTTAAGATGCCCATCTAATGAAAAACTCAGTACTCCATTTCCATTTTCTGAGGAAGTGGAGATGAATGTATAACTTGCATGTTAGTTGGCATTTACTCTCCACCACGGGGCTGTCTGACGCTGCATGGAAACCAGAAGACAGGAATCTGCTGAACAAGCATCAGCATCTACATCAAAAGTACTAATTATTTTAAGGGAATTTTACCTCAAGATCATGGTTTAATTAAAGGTAGTTGCCAAAGGTAGTTTTCATACCACCCTGTAAAGCATACATTTACTTTTAGGTAGATCTAGTGACAGGTGGGCCAAATTAATGTTTCCTTTTTTCTATTCTTGCTGTGTGTGTATGTGTTTGTACAGGTATAAAGATGAAGCTCTATTTACAGAACAAATTCACAAGGTTTTAAGTAATATCAATTTTATATCCAAGTCATAGATGCTTCAAATAGAAAAGCAGGTAAGTTCGTTGTAATAATGGGTGAATTTTTTTCACCCAGGTCATGAAATAAAAGTAAGGCTTTAGGTGGTTCATTTTGCCAAAGATAAAACATCTGACGTTATTGTAAATGCTATTGTAAATTCAGTGAAAAAACTCAACATTCAAAATATCTTTTGGTGATAATAATAAAGTCAAATATTAATGGAGTACAACATTATGTGAAAACAATATTTTTTTCTAAATTAAAAAAAAACAACCAAAACACACAAAGCAGAAATGCCCTGGGGATTGGGCGGAGGCCACAAATCACTGATTGATGTGTCTAAAACCAACTGCGACAATTTGTGCAAAATAAAAATTGTCAGATTTTCAAATATTTTTAGATACATAGAGTAACTGATCAATAGCTTTAAAGAGGTAATTGGTAAAATGAAGTCATTAGGGTGGGCCCTAGTCCAGGCTGACTGGCGTCCTTACCAGAAGAGGAGATTAGGACCGAGACACACACACAGGGGGCCATGTGAAGACACAGGGAGAAGGAGGCCATCTACAAGCCAAGGAGCGAGGCCTCAGAAGAAACCAATCCAGCAGACACCTTGATCTTGGACTTCTAGCCTCCAGAACTGTGAGACAATAAAATTCTGTTGTTTAAGCTGCCCAGTCTGTGGTATTTTGTTACGGCAGCCCTAGCAAACTAACAAAGAGGTATCGGCATTCTCAAAATAATTAACTATGAAGAGTGACTTTGAAGAAGATTTCAGGAAATATTATGAAAAAAATTAAAAATAGTAAAACCATATTGAAAAATTCTTCAGAAAATATCAGTGATACTGAACTAGAAATATGGATAAGAACTGATGGAATTTTGTCAGTATATAGCAAGAATAATTACTCAGATTTTTGTTGTTGTTTTAATTATTTTATTTTATTTTATTTTCATCATGATAAGTGTACTTTTTAATCCCCATCCCCTATTTCACCCATCCCCCTACCCACCTCCCCCCTGGTAACCTTCAGTTTGTTCTCTAGAGTTAAGAGTCCATTTCTTGGTTTCTCTCTCTCTTTTCCTTTGCTCATTTGTTTTGTTTCTTAAATTCTACATATGAATAAAATCATATGGTATTTGTCTTTCTCTGTTTGACTTATTTCATTTAGCATAATACTGTCTAGCTCCATCCACGTCACTGCAAATGGCAAGATTTCATTCTTTTTTACAGCTGAATAATATTCTATTGTATATATACATCACATTTTCTTTATCCATTCATCAATTGATGGACACTTGAGCTGCTTCCATAATTGGGTTATTGAAAATAATGTTGCTATAAACATAGGGATGCATATATCCCTTATCCCTTTGAATTAGTGTTTTTGTATTTTGGGGGGTAAAAGCCCAGTAGTGTGATTACTGGTTCGTGGGGTAGTTCTAGTTTTAATTTTTTGAGGAACCTCCATACTGTTTTCCACAGTGACTGCAATGTGTAACAAGAATAATTATTCAGATTTTTAAATTTTAATTTACTATGCAGATATGTATTATTGTTTAGAAAAATATACTTTTGAAAATTGTTTATTTGTTAAGTTTATTTGTATAACAACACAATAAAAAAAACTATTTCAGAAATGACATAATTCTAATGTCCCTTTCACTCTCCAACCTGTCTGGGTTTGGATGATGAATTATGTGAAGGGATTCAGACATTCCATTATACACTGAATGTTCTCTTACTTCAGCAGAATAGAAGACACCGGATTTGCACCAAGTGCTGACCCAGCCGTTTTGTAAGTAAATAACAAAAAGAAAACTTGAACATACTGCACAACCCAGGGTCTCTGGCCCAGGGTTTCCCCAGATGTTCCCGTGATCGTGTGATCGCTGTGGCTTGCACTTTCGCCATCTGTACACGTGTGTCTGGATTGCTGTCCTCATCCGGAGAGTGCACGCACCCTGATGGCTCCTTATCTCATTGCCCTGGCTAGGCGGGAAGGAAGTCACCCTCGGTATTCCCCAGTCCTAGGCTCCAAGTCCCTTCCTGCTGCTTTATTTATTTAACCAACACTTACATAGCGCCCTATAAGCAGGCCCTGTGCTCCGCACTCAATAAACATCAACTCCCTGAATCTTCATAAGGACCCCCTGAGGTAGTCATGGTGATTATTCCCACTTTAGAGGGGAAATTTAGCCCAGAAAGTCTGAGAGCCTTGCCTAAAGTCATACAGAGGGAAAATGCGTGTCAAAGCCCGCTGTGTGGCTCAGGTGTGCATGGCCTTGCCCCACACTGTGCCTTCCTTTGGCCCAACTACACCCCGAGACCACCCCTCACTCCCAGCCAGGGCTCCAGTCTCTGGATCTTACTCCAGAACTGAGGGGAAAGCAGAGTGGAGTAGGTCCGGGGGCGCCATTCAGTATTTTAGGAGCCCCCCCCTCCTCTGACTGCAGTACACCCCACCCAGATCCTGGAGCCATAATGCTGACCCCCTGTCTGGTGGCCCTCCTCGTGGGGCATGGACCCCGCCGGCGGCGCGGGGACAATCGAGCATCGCCCGCGGGCGACGACCCCCTCTCGGTGCCATCCCGCTCGGAGCCAGCCCTCCGCACCCGCCCCGCGCGCGCTGAATGATCCGCCCAGAGCTGGGCGGTGACAGCGATCGTCGCCCACCCCAAGGTTTTTTCCTCTCGGGGCCGGGGCCCAGCCAGAGCGACCCCTAGCGACGTGCCGGGAGAGTGCGCTTGCTGGCACTCTGCGCTCCCTCCTCTCCCCTTCCGGCCGCTTCCACCCCTTCCCTCCCGCAGGTGTCAGGGTCCCGCCACTCCACACCCTCCTCGAGGGATGGCCGGGGGGAGGAGCGCTGACCTGAGGGCATGGTCGCGGCGCCGAAATCTCCGCTTACAGAAATGAAGCGGCCGCAGGAAGGGCAGACCCTCGCTGGCACCCACTGCCTGCCGTCTGTGGTTCTAAGGACTCCTCAGGCCACTGGGCGCGCCTCCTGGGGCTCCCTTCCCTCCAGCCCACGTGGGCCACCACGGTGTGGCCAGGGCCAGTCACCACCATCCCCAGCAACACTGGGGCAAGTGGGCGATGCCCTGGGTTTTTAAAACCTCCTGGTCAAAAGTTCCAAGTGCCCAGATCGGAGGCAGGTAAGTCTGTGGGACCCTGTGCCCAGACTTTGCCCCACTTTTCCACCTCACTGACACTTGCCCCACTCTTATTCCGCTGTCTCTAGTTCCTCACTCTTTCACGCCATTCTTCTTTTTTTTTTTTTTTTTACAGTTATCATTTGGATCTGACAGGTGGCTGCTCCATCAGCTGAGGCATTTCACAAAACGGGTTCTAAATAACACTAGCGTTCTGCAAGCTAGTAATAGAGTAAACACATTTGGGGAAACGCTATCCTATGTTCATGCTTTGTGTGGGCCACAAATTTGATTCTGTATTTCTGGTAGTTAATGAAAGATAGGAAATGAGTTACACAATTTATAATGTCCAGAAAATCAGAAAAAAAAAAAAACACCCAACAAGACAATTAAAAAAAAAAACTATTTTAGATTCTAGGAGCAGAAATATACTTCCCCCAGGGTTATTTATAAAGAGAACACTATAATGTAGGTATGGACACTCTTAAAATAAACATAAGGCCTATTTTATATATGGATGCTCCCCATAGCCTCCCTCAGAAGAAAGGGAGGGCCTAAGTCCAAACTGCAACCAATTAAAGCAAACCTGTGGGAAGCCTGTAACAGAAAAGCCATATCCCAGCTCTTTGCTGGGC